AGTCTCAAGAGAGAAATTTCAGTCCTGGCGAAGGGGCGGTCGGGTAGCCTAGTGGTTAAAGCGTTCACTCGTCACGCTGAAGACCCGGGTTCGATTCCCAACATGGGTACAACGTGTGAAGCCCATTTCTGGTGTCCCCCGCCGTGATTTTGCTGGAATATTGCTAAAAGCGGCGTAAAACCATACTCACTCACTCACTCAGTCCTGGCGATAAAGTCGTAGTGTTTTTGCCTATCCCTGGTCAACCATTACGTACTATGTACCACGTTCCGTGTGTCATTGACGTACGTATTATGAAAGATATGACAATGTACCTACTCAGTGTAGGTAGAAGGTCAGGTACAGCCTGTACCAGTATAGGTGGAAGCTATTTCAATATTCCATGTCCCACAAACAGAAAGGAACTTATGAAATTTGAAAATTTGACAAACATCAGAGAAATTATTCCACGATTGAAAAGAATGCTTTGCAACAATTTGAAGTGTACTTTGTTTCCAATTCAGGTGTACACTGATCACAATCCAGTGACTTTTGAAGACCAAAACACAACGCCTGATGCGCTGGAGTCTTTGCAAGAATGTGATTTAAACATCAAGCATATCAAAGGCGAAGACAACGTTATAGCATTGTCTCGAGTTGGTTGAATGTGATCAATTCTGACTGCAAACATGGTTTGCATCCTTGTAAACATTTCTCATAATTATCATGTATGATGTTTGTTATTATTTACTGTACTCAGCAGTGTTTGTACTTTCACCAGCAAGGAAAATTCTCTTGTTCTATGTTCAAACACCGCCTTCGTTGTCTAGTGGTAGAGCGTCCGCCCGGAGAGCGGAAGCTCCGGGGTTCGATCCCCGGCCGCATCATACCAAAAGACGTTAAAAGATGGTACTTGTTGTTACCCTGTCTGACGCTCGGCATTTAGGGGTTAAAGCAAGGACTCGGTCGGCTCGGAGTCAGTATACTGTGTCTGAGTGGGGTATTCATGTTAAATTGCGGCATGGTATCTCAGTGGGCTAGCACTATAAATCGGCATCAGTCCGGTCTAGTACAAGCAGCCACACACACACACACAAAATCACGTGCGTGCACGTCGCTATATAAGTGCAATAATCTTGGACGCGACGTTTAAACCTAATTTCACCTCACCTCTATGTTCAAACATTCTTTCTCCGAAGGGCCAGAGTATTACATTGCAGTGTAACAATTAGTAATTGTGTTTACTTTTTATCATTATAAAACTCGTAAAATAAAATGCATACAAATATTTTTCAGACCGGATTTACACGTTATCCTCTAACCATGGACATGGTATTCTCCAACAAATATGTTCCTACCCCGAAACTATCACCAACTACCCCTTGTGGTTTTAACAATATGATGTCCTATCGCCAGATCTAAAAAAACATTATTCATTACGTCGAGGGGGTCTGATAAATATTTCAATACAGTTTTGCAAATCAAACATGCAAACACACAGACAGCGTGAGATATGTACATGAAATTGATATTCCCTTCTTCGCGCAGTGCCCCTTAAGGTATAACGATGGTCATGTAGGACAAAAGCAATTCACAAGCAACACGCACGGGGAACGGGGATAGCTACATACAAACGCTCCAATTGTTCATTGTTCACCGACTCCTTTGTGTGAGTTCAAAGTCAACGGTTTTCTCTGTCCCTTTATCTAAGCGCATCGACATTTTTGCTCATTTGGGTATGAAAATGCGCAATTTCCTTCTAATGTCCCCTGAAACAAAACCTGTCTGTTGTCTGGGTCTTACAATTGATGTTGTCAATAGGAAGGGATATGATCGTGCATTGTTCCAGATCTAGACGTACAAGACATTGACCCTCATAATGCCCTTTTAAAGAAGCATATATTTAACATACTATGTGTTGGAAGGTCGTTATGTTTCAGGATGGTCTCGTAAAGATTTTACACATGAGCTTCAAAGAGTTAAAATACATTATACATACGGAAACAACAATAGTAGATTTCGGTAAGTGTAAACCTCGTGTTAGAGAGCACCGAGTGCGAATTAGTGGTTAAGGGTTGAGGACCGTGTCGATTTAATTAAAAACCATCTAAGCTTGGCTGGTTGATTTGTTGTTAAGCGCCGCACTCAACAATATTCCAGCTATATGACGGCGGTCTGAAAATAATCGAGTCTGGACCAGACAATCCAATGATTAACATCATGAGCATCGATCCGCGCAATTGGGACCGATGACATGTATCAACCAAGTCAGCGAGCCTGACCACCCGATACCGTAAGTCGCCTTTTTCGACAAGCATAGTTGCCTTTTACGGCAAGCATGGGTTTCTGAAGATCTAATCTACCCCGGATCTTCACCGGTCCCATCTAAGCAGCCAACTAGTTTATTGGCAGTGGGGCGTGAGCTTGTCACTCATCTGTATAATTGAAATAATTTCGTTTCACATCCCAGATGTCATTCTTGCAATAACACTGAGTATTATTTACGAGTGAGTGAAATTGGCTCAACGCCTCTTTGAAAAGTATTTCAATAATGACAGGGCGTGTCAGTTTGATGTGGGAGGAAAGTATAAAGTGATATTTAGACGTGTACCACCTTGGGGAAAACCATGAGGGCGGATGTAGTGCTGACAAACCAAGGAACATAATACATATGTTAAAATAAGGGCGAATCGTGGATAGTCCTGGTATGTCAACGGGGCGCAACTCTGCACAGCGAATTGCGGTGCCTTAGACGACTGTGCCCCTGCGTATCATTTATAACAATCCTGATTAGACAGGGTCTGGACTCGAGTCCATTTCCATTTTACAACAACACCCTAACTTAAACTGAGATTGTTTCCATGTAAAGCTTTACGCCGTGTTTCGCAATGTTCCAACAATATCACGACGGGCCGACAGGAATGGGTTCTATACATTGTGGGGATTCGAACCTGGGTACTGTTCGTGACCAAACAAACGCTTTACCACTAGACTCAACCCATTCCCCTGTATCTCCGTGATAGGGCAAACATACTTAGAAACCGAGTGACGTAACGGGGAAATGTGATCGGTTGTTCACACCCTATGCTATATTTGATGACAATTAAACACGAAGTCATACATTCGTCCCAGGATCAGCTGATTGTGGGTTCGATTCCCAGAATAAAAGCAAAATAATTATGATTATTTGTTTGTCAGCACCATACCCGTGCTCGTGGGTTTGAACCAAGTTGTGAACATGTATGCTTGGGCCTTTCATGTTTTACACATTAAGCTGAATGACTCTAAAATAATTAAAATGCGGTTCGGTGCGGCGTTAAATCCATCTCACTGGCTCTTGTACACGTGTACTAACGTAATGCCTTCAAGCATACATTTTACTCTGACGTATAAGTGCACTGTCATCGAGTACATACATATATACACTCAACTGTAAACAAACCCTATTTCCAAGACCCGACTTCATCTGTTTTGGCAATGTACCTAAATATATGTCTCTTACAAATTTCAGCACAGATGCTTAGTCGTCATATAATCTTCAGCGGAAATGTGATGGGGCGGAACCGGAAGTTATGCCTCGTTTGAAACAAAATAGTTCGGTTGTCTGCAGGTATGTGTGCCCGAGTTATGACGGTGATGGCCGTCCATCTCACGGGGATTGGTCTGGTGTATCTTATCAAGGTATCTGCTGAGAATACTTTAAGAAATAACCCATACGTTACGTGGCGCAGTGATACACAAGATCGTTCATGTCAGTTGGTACGTGAACAGCTGGAAGAGAAAGTGCACGTCTTATGAGTGCAGCAAAAACCTGCCACTTTGCTTACGTTAAGAGCATGGAATTCTAACCATGGTAAACACACTGTTTTGGCATGATGTAATGGGATTTAAACTACATGTGCACTTTAAGAGAGGCTTCTGCTTCATGTACATTCGATTCATAGATTGTTCCCATATATGGAATCGAATCAGGGTTTCAGCCTGTATTTAAATCACAGTACTTTTTGTCAAATGGTGAATATGTGCCCGTGTAAATGTTATGTTATTGAAAATGTTTTATCATAACAAATACATTGACAAAACCAATACCTGGTAACATGACAGAGCGAGGCACGAGGGGTTGTGTAAAAACTCAGTTAACAATGTCATTATCAGGTGTGACCACCATTTGCGTTGATGCAGGCGAAGCCAGGCGAAGTCAGGCGAGCTAGGGGTGTGTTGTTCAAGTGTCAACTGAGCTAGTAGTAACAGGCGGACAGGACAGTACAGCAATATTATACTGCCCCAAATAGTCTGTTACAACACGTGCAACGTCTGGGCGGACATGACCCTGCTGCAACGTGACGTTACGTCTTCTTTTTGCACAAAATATAGAACATAGCCTCGAACAATGTCGTCCCGATAGTGAACGCCATTCACATTATCATCATCAATTATGAGTTGTGTTGTCCAATGTCATGCCACCCCATACCATTACATATCCACCCCTAAACTGACGACGTTAAGTAACGCAAGGGTCGCTAACACGTTCTGGACGTCTGTAGACCCCTGCACGATCATCAGCTCTGCCCAGATGAAAGCTGGATTCATCTGCAAATAGTATACTGCCCACTCTTGTTTTCCTCAAAACCTCTCTTCACAAAGCTAGGCGTGCCTGACGGTGACGTGGCACCAACATGGCGCATCGCTTTGACATCGGTGTCGGATGTTGTGCTCCCTCAACTAGAAATTAATCTCAAACCAGGAATTGCCCAAACTGTTTTTTTTTGTATCGATTCCGTAGATGCAACAACCGAATATGTTTGTCTTGATGACGTGACGTCACACGTGGATGACTAGGCCGTGGTAAGTCATGAGTGTTGCCCTGCTGTAGATAACGTCTTCAAAGAGATTAACATTAAAATATTGGCAGCATACCCGCGGCGCGTAGATGTTGATTTTGAAGTCCTAACATAGCGAAAGCGTTATTTACGGTTATATACATATAAAAATCCGTGATTGAATAATAACAAAACATATCCTTTATTGAAATATATATTTTATTTCAAAACGCGAAAAATGTATAATTCCCATATCCTCAATTAATATCTGTAAAAATATAAACAGAACACGCGATAGAAAGACGAATCTTTGGTGCATCAGTGCCATTATTCTGGCAGCTCTAAACAATGAGCATCGTCACAACACCTCTAAAACACAACCCCCAGGGGCTGCCCTGATGAAGACAGGGATAAATGGAATGACGTTAAAATGTCCAATAACACAGATCGTGAAACACATAAGTCTGTCTTGAAATAAATGCATAGCAAGAGTTAATAATTGTCAAAACTTTCAGAGGCCATACGTGTAAATGAGTAAGTTAATGTTTTATTCAAGAACTGTCAGTAGAAAGTTACCTCAGTGAAAAATAAGATGGATACACACGATGGTACCACGGGGCCAGTTGGTCAGAATACGTGTTTGGACGTAGAAGACTTGGTTATCTATGTGATGGGAATACCTTGTGTGTCATATCAAATATGACAAATTAAATTGAAGAAACGCCAAGACGGATATATTTCACTTTTTGTAATGTTGTTTTTCGTTTTGGATAATAAATATTTTCGACAGTCTGGTATAATTATCAAACATTGCAAAAGTATGAAATAAAGCATGACAATCTGTCGGGCAAAAGAAAGTATACACTTGAAAATTGCATTGAACCAAAACATTATAAACGTTACAATAAGGTTACAAGGCTGAAGGGGCGGTCGTGGCCTAGAGGTTAAAGCGTTCACTCGTCACGCCGAAGACCCTGGTTCGATTCCCGACATGGGTAAAATGTGTGAAGCCCATTTCTGGTGTCCCCCGCCGTTATATTGCTGGTATATTGCTAAAAGCGGCGTAAAACCATACTCACTCACTCACTCACTACAAGGCTGAAAACAGTCGCCGAAACACTGCTGATCTAAGGACATCTAACCTTGATACCCGTATTAAATACATAACCATCCTATAACCATTTCTTGTTTGTTAATTTTTAGTCACAATCAGTCATAGGTGTATATTTTCTTTTGCCGTCAGTATATATGAGTCTGTCTCTCCTAGGATCCCCATTGGTTGAACATATCTGGCATGTGATAAAAATGTACTTTACGAATGTCAGGATAATGAATGGACTGGAATAAAATATATGGTAAAAAGTAAAAGTAGAAAAATGCAAAACCATGGAATGTGTAATAAATTGTATATTTTGCTACATCCTCTAGTCACCAAAGGTAAGATAATATTATGTGTAATAAGGATTAGTCAAGACTTTCAGCAACAGGTGTTTCATAACGTCAGCTTTAGGTAAAACAACAGATAAATCTTTGCATAGAAAGTAACGAACGGTACTGAACTGTATCGTATAGTCAATGTTTCAACCACAGCCAGGCGATTTTGGCCTTTTTAGACACACATGATTAATAAGTGCGGCGTCTCATGCTTGGATATATTGAGCCCATGTGGGAACTACTTATAAGGAAGATTCATCCTCCAGCTCCGGGCTGTTGTCTTCTACATCAAAACAGCCCAAACCTCTTCTTCATCTCGAGTTGTTTCCATTTTGGTTTGGAGAGATAGTCATGTTTTGTAATCTTGAAAATCTTCTTGAATTCTTCATCTGACAAGTATTTCTGTTGAGAGAAGAGAAAGGTTTTCATCAAATAATGGCGATATTTCATATACCCTACCAAGCAAAAGAAAGTAAACAACCATGTATGATGGCTGAAATGAAACAAAAAAAAAATGGTCTTTCGATGTGGATGTATTTGATATGGGTGTTATAGTCGTGTTTTGGACCTTAAGTTTAACGTATTTCGGTAACTGTTTTAAGCCTCGTAACGTGTTGATAACATTTGTAAGTTTTTTTGGTAAAAAATACATACATTATCATCATATGTTATCTATTCTCATCATAATGCATTTTAATCCATTGTTTTCTCACATTGATACCATAAAAATATGTATGCACTTTGTTTCCATGCACGTTGGTTTTTACAAAGTTTTATGATGTTGATAACATTAAAATGTCCTTGAACAACGCTCCTCAATTTGTCATACAAAGTACAGATCAACAGAAATTGTTCTTCATCTTTCTTTAAACGATCATTTTTAACAATATAAACATAAACATATCCCAACGTCCAGAGTCCATTCGTAACATGATTTCAACAATGGAATGTACTTAAGCATTTCTTAGTATTTTCAGGTGAACATTTGACTTGCCTTTGCATGTGTTTGTGACGGGTGCCATGGGTGGGGCAGGATACGCTCACCTTTTTTGGCGAACACTATTTGATAGTGATTCATAAACACATGCTCAGGATATAGTCGGAATTGTACAATCGATTCTGCTTTATGCAGATATTCAATTGGATGTGGAAAGGGTCTTGTCGCTTTTATTGAATTACTAACTTTTAATATTTACAATGTTCACAAATGTACACAGTTCATAAAATCTTTATTTTACTTTCCCCTGTAGATTACAAAGTCAGCTTTCACGTGATACATCTTTCAATCGGTGAGTAAAGGAAACAAACAGATATTTGCCGGTTTCCATCATCCTCATTTAGCCAAACGATTCCTTACCTCAAACAAAATATTTTCTCACAAATCCAATCCATGTTTGCCTTCAAACTTTCGACATTATCAAGTGAAAAGAACATATAATTACAAATTATGTAACTGGGGCATGAAATGGACAACAATTATATCTAGTAGGATATATATTTTACAACATAAATAAATATAATGGGTACCTTCCTAATTCACCGAGTGTCATTGGTTGACATTGCTTGACATTGCTTGAGGAATGATTTATTTACAAAAAATGTATGATAGCTGTACACTTTCAATACATGTTAAATGATGATATCAACACACTTCAAAGCGTAGATTGAATAGGTGAAGTCATCCTGTCAAACGAGAACATTGAGGTTTTTACATTGCCTCAAACCTCAAAGATAAAACGTGTCTTTGTTAGCTTGTTGTGATGAGTGTCGACAGGTTTTCCCTTACCTCAGTGTACGTGTGAAATAAATACCGATATATTTGTATTCAGATACAGTTCATATAAATATGCCCGCCTTAGTTTCATGTTTCAGTTGTTTTAACTGGGGGACACGGGTGGCCAAGTCGTCTAAGGCGCCGCGACTCGCTGTGTAGAGTTGCGTTCCTTGGGCACGCCAGAAACCTATGATTGTGGGTTCGCCCCGATTATGTTTCTAGGTTTGTCAGCACCATACCCGTGCTCGTGGGTTTCACCGAAGTGGTGAACGTCTGAGACCTGCATCACTTGGGGCTTTCCTCCCACATTAAGCTGACACGCCTTGATATAACTGGAATACTGTTAAAAGCGGCGTTAAACCCAACTCACTCACTCACTCACTCTTGTTTAATGCGGCATATCTTCACCCTGACTTATATTTTGAGTCATTTTTCACAACTATGGCCGCCTTCGTGGTCTAGTGGGTAGAGCGTGTGCTTTGAAGCGGAATGACGGTGGTTCTATTCCCGGCCGCGTCATACCAGAACAGAAGAAGTCAATGGATGGTACTTGTTGTAACCCTGCTTTGCGCTCAGCATTTAGGGGATAAAACAAGGTCTGATCGGCTCAGTGGGCTACCACTATAAAACCGGCATTAGTCCCGGACTTCACAAAGACACACACACACGCTCACACTGACACACATACAAGCACACACTCACAGACACACACACTCACAGCCACTGACACAGCCACTCGCTCACAAAGACACACACAGCCACTGACACCGACACACGCTCACACAGACACATACACAAACACACACACAGACGCTCAGACACAGATAAGACACACAGACACACAAGTACATAGCCTCACAGACACAAACACCCTCATACAGACACCGACACATACAGACAGAGACAGATACACACGCACAGACACACATGCACACACACGCACACACAGATACACACACTCACGCACAGACATACACAGACATACACGCACACACAGATACACACACACACGCACAGACACACACACGTCGCTATATTTCAATAATCGTGATCCCGACGTTAACCACATTTTATCTCATCTTATCAACACTACAATGTCCTGGAACATAATACAATGGATTGTGAACATTAAATGTTAAATATCCTACTAGACACGAACATCCACACATTGCAGCACTAGGGGCTATTCTAGGTACACACAATCAGGGTGGCAGCACCCTGGGACAGCTGGAGCCGTCTATCAATTATACACAAAGATCAACCACTGGGTCTGGCAAGCACCCCTGTACTGTTAGCAGCACGTGGCTACCTACACGTCTTGAAGTCTGCATTGGAAATTTCATTGGCCTTTGCCGAAGTGACATTTTCGTATCTTTTCGAGATTCATGCTCCAAAGTACAAACAACTTTCTGTATCCTGGTTAAAGTAGAATTGTGGCAGGGATCAAAGCTCTCAAGCTTAGCACAAATGTCTAAAGACGAGATAGGATAAATGACTTTTATGGCCGACGAAAATGTCAAATATTTAAATTGCGAAAGACTCTCCAAAAGTGGTATGAAAACGATCCCGCATGTACATAAGTACATTATGGGGCTAAACTATGTGAGTATGAGCAAGTCAGTCACCAAGATGAATGTTTTACCATACATTCGTATTCTTATCATCTACACTTCCTTAGAAAATCGGATTGTATCAAGGACTTGCTCATATTCAAGTATTATACAAATGCTTCCCGAAAATCCTCTGAAACCAGTTTTGTACACATTTCAATCTTACCTATTTCTTAATGAATCGTAGAGGTTATGCTCCTTCCTCAAATTCTGTATATCCCGACGGCCCAAAATTAGCGCTTATCCAACCGCATCCTTCATATGCCCAAGTTTGTCTTAATGATTCAATTTGAATCCACCCGGTGACTTCATGTTGTGTGGCGCGCGTTACGGTTGGCCTGCGTTCATTACTAAGAATATGCAAAAAATACACATTCGAATCTTTTATCGCTCACATTACCCCACATCTATTCTTCTCAACACATATCGACGTCGGCTACCCCTGGATGTTAGAGCAATAGCAAGGGATACTTGTTAGGCGGATACAGAGGTAGGGGGGTGGGGGGCTGTTGGAAACCAAAATGTGATAGGCAGTAAAAGAGGATTTTGATATTTTGGACCCCTCCCTTTTAAAAATGCTGGATCCGCCCTTGGCATCCGTTCACGGTACGTGCATTTATTTATATATTGCGTTTTTAAATTGTTTGAGTATATTTGAGAATGTTAAGTCTGCAAATGAGAACAGTTTTCATGATGGCAAAAACCTCCCGTAAACAACTCCTTCCTCTGACGATAATTGCCCGGAAACACTAACACTGCAAACGTCTTGTATCAAAGGGCAACAACAGTAGTGCAGGCATATTACGCAGGACATATTAACTCTGCTGCAACAGTTGAACCAGCGTAAAGATCTACCAGGTTACAGTTTAAAGTAGAAAGCGTTGAGCACGTTCAGCCTAACGTAACATTGTAGCAGAGTTAGAATGGATATATTGGTCACTAAGTTTTGGAATTACGATATTTGAACTCATGTATCGAAATCTTCATTAAACGTTGTTCATCACACTCACATCACATCATCACACTCCGCCATACACCTGAAATACTTTCCAGGCACGTTGAAGCGAAGTCACTCACTCACTCAGTAAATGCCCACTCACTCACGTACTCACTCGCTCACTCATTAATTCAGACTGGACATGATGGGCATATCGTCTGAATTTGATTGTTTAGAATTTTTTAGATAATGTGTCATGTTCGACAAGAGGTTCCCATGGATATGTGGAACTAGACGTAACAACCCTAGAATACCAGAAAAAAGTTTTTTGATCAGTTGATCAGTTGTATATATGTGTGTGTGTATCTGTGCGTGCGTGCGTGCGTGCGTGCGTGCGTGTGTGTTTGCCTCTTTCTCTGTGTGTGCGTGCGTCTGTGTGTGTGTGTGTGTGTGTGTGTGTGTGTGTGTGTGTGTGTGTGTGTGTGTGTGTGTGTGCTTGTCTGTCTCTTTCTCTTTATCTTTGTGTGTGTGTGGTGATTGTGGGGATCAGGTGGTGGGGGGGAGCAGGAAGTAGATTCAGCCTGACAAACGCACGGGCTGTGTCCTAAAAAAATGTGCTTATAGAGCGAAGGGGGAGGGGGGGGGGGGGGGGGGGGGGGTCCTATGGGTAAGGGTTGAAATAACAAGCACTAGAAGCGGCGAAGGACGCAAGGAATGGGCTTCACACTTAGCTTCCCATGTCTGAGTGGAAAACGGTGAATATTGTTCATTATGCCTTAATCTCAGATTTAGTGTTGATAAAACGTTGTTGAAAGGACCTGTCCCGACAACACTATGTGACACTCGTCAGTTAGATTAACATCTGACAGGGATTTACAAGAACAAGCTATCCTTTCACTCGTAAGGGAAGCAACTCTTCATAGCGAATCACGATGTGCTAGACCACTAGGCCAGCGATATAAGGCGAAAAATGAGTCGCGTTCAAGCTAATTGCACTTGTATAGTGTGTGTGCGTGTGTGTGTGTGTGTGCGTGCGTGCGTGCGTGCGTGCGCGCGCGCGCGCGGTTGGGTGTGTGTGTGT